AAACCCATAATAAACTGATTTTTAGTATCACTGAAGATGTACAACTTAGATGGTTTCATTATCGAATTGTACATAGAATTATGAGTACTAATGTTTACTTAAAGAAAATAGGAATCGTACATTCTGATCTGTGTACTTTTTGTGGTATGCATCCTGAGTCTATAACCCACTTGTTTTGGGAATGTTTATATGTTGATATATTATGGAGTAAACTAGTAGAATGGATCAATTATAAAACAGAGCACAATACTGAAATAAACATAATTGATGTTATATTTGGTAGAGAAGGTAAATATCATATTATTTTGAATCTTTTAATATGTATAGTAAAAAGGCATATTTATAAGAAAAGAATTTGTAAGTCACTACCAACCATAGAAGGAGCAAAAAAGGAAATCAATCATTATTATAAAATTGAAAAATTTATGTATAAAAAGAATAATGAATTGGCTTTATTTGAAAAGAGATGGGGTCTTTTTTCTTCACTGTTTTCTAATGTTGGTTAAAATTGTACTTGTTTAAAATCATCTGTTATTCATTATTTTGATAACTTTTCTGGTAAATACATACACATATTGGATGCATGGGGTGTGAAAGGATTTATTTACATTTTTTTTTTCAATGAAAAATTGTCCTGGTTGAATATTAAAATATACAGTGTTTATATTAGTAGTACATTATATGTGGTAGTTTATTTACTATAGTGCCATGTGACTGTCATCATTACTATTGGCTATATTTTATACTTGTAAGTTTGGTGAGTCCAGGGCTCCCCAACCTTGGCGCCATCCTTCGAATCTTATATATCGCTGGGGCAATAAAAAAAAAAAAAATTATCTACCAGTTACTGCTTGTGTTGTTTTTGTAATAAATCAACCATCAATATATATCTGGGCTTTGTTTGTAAAATAATTAATTGGACTTGATTTTATACGATGTACCAATTATCTTTTATTTTAAGATTGCTCAAATGAGAGGAACATGTGAGGTTTATTCCCCGAACGTCTACTCGCTAAAACAACTATTTAATTATCACGCTCAATTAAGAGGCCCTCTAAGAGATCCAGGTAGAGTTTACCAGAGGTAACCTTGATTTAACAAAGTAGTCAAAATTAAATGATTTAATATTTACTGATAAAACTACTAATGTACTAAAGCACAGATTTATTGATTAAATACTTGCTATTATTGAAGGCACCGAACAAATATTTTTTTCATATTATACATGTACATGTTATAAATATTTTTATTTAGAATACATTTAAAATTCGAAAAAGAAACATAACTGCACAAGACATCAAAATTAACGAATACAATGTGATGAATTATTTTCAAACATGACTTTTTTTAACCTAACACTTGAAGCATAACTTACACCACATTTTAACATTTTAAGCTTTGTGTTTAATCTATATGAAATTTGGAGAACTTTTTTCACATCGCATTTGCAGGTCCATAGAACGAAAGGGGGGGGGGGGGCATTTTTCTGAGCAAAGACTTTTCCTGTAGTATAATCTATTCCTCTAGATCTAATATGTAAATTTTCATTTAGATGCTGCCCCTCTTACTTTCTGTTGCTGTAAGGTCGAGCGATGGCAAATTCCAGCACCTGGAAAAAAAAATCTACAAACAGTTAGAGAAAGTCCACCCCTCCCCACACACGAACACATAAATTAGGATTTTCAAGGTTTTTTTCTTTAATTATTTTAATTTTACTTGTCAGATTTCTTTGGGAGGTAGCCCCTTTCCCCACTGTTTAAACCACAGCTACCTCTTTGTTTGGAAGCAATATCTAAAGTTACATGTACATGTAGCACCGTTTTATTTACATCAATTCAGACACACTGTATCGTTTTGAAAGGGGGGGGGCAAAAATTTGTTGACAACTTACCCTTAAAAACATTGTCCAAAACCCAATTTTATTCACATTCAAAATAATTGTTTTTTCAAATAATCGTATCCAACACTTCTTGATAGATTTTTACCAAAACAAATTACATGTGTATTGTGATTTGAGTTTTATGATGCAAACTAACAAAGATTTTGAAATTATTTATTGTTATAATATTCAAAATTAATGCTTTGAAACGGTGAAACTAAATTAAATTAAAAGTATCTAAAGCAAAATTCATTTAACTCATTTAATAAGATATATTGAAAAGAAAAATGACATATGATCGATAGATTTTTTCCTGTTTAAGAAAGAATACTACTTACATGTTCACGGAAATTTTATTTATCGTATCTTTAAGACATCTCCTCTGAAATATGGCTTAAATATGGAAAGATTGATATTAGTTTAAATTAATTTTTATGAATTTTGGGGGCTTTTTAGGAGAAAATGAAAAGATTGTTTTAATTGCAAATAAGATCTGTTAGAGTTTAAAGTTCGCCCTAAATAAATGAATGGATAATATAAATATTTAATAAAAAATGTCAAGAAAAATCAGATAAGATTTTTTTTAAAAATTTTTGCTAAAAAATTATTTATGAAAATAAAACACATTATTTTTAGCATTTTTTAAAATAAATGGATAAAATCTTTAAGATTTTTACATTTCCCCTGAAAAAAAATCATAAAAAACAATAAATATCTTTTATCAATCTTTCCATGCTGAAACCATGTTTCAGAAGAGATGCCTTAAAGATCCAAAAATTATTGTTGCTGTAGAATTCCTCCTTCAATAAATACAGGTTGTAACAACAATACAAGTTGTAAATGAAATTAATTATTTAGGTATTTTATTTAGCGCATCAGGTTCATTCAAAGAAGCAAAACAGAAACAAGTTGATAAAGCAAATAAAGCAATATTTGAAATTCTTAAGAAAGGCCGCTTACATAATCTATCAATACGGTGTCAGTTAGATCTGTTTGATAAAATTGTTCAGCCTATATTGCTGTACGGATGTGAAGTATGGGGATTTTCGAACAATGCAATTGTAGACAGAGTACATCTAAAATTTTGTAAATTACTTCTTAACCTTAAACAATCTACTCCGGACTGTATGGTGTTTGGTGAACTCGGTCGACATCCAATGTCCATTGAAATACAAACGCGTATTATTTCATATTGGTGCAAACTTAAACTTGGAAAGGAAACAAAAATATCAAGCCTACTGTTCAAATTAAGTGATATCGTCAATCAAAAGACGAAGATTGCTTGGCTAAATAATGTCTTGAATATTTTAAACAACTGTGGACTTTCAAATATTTGGCAAAGTCAGACCTTTAATCCAAATTGGTTGAGATCGAAAGTAAAACTTACTTTACTTGATCAATTTAAACAAAAATGGAATTCGGATGTTCAAAATTTATCAAAGACTCTAAATTACAGAATAAACAAAGAAGAACTAAAATTTGAAAAATACTTGGATATTCTATCCCGAAAAGATGCCATTAATTTCTGCAAATTTCGTACTCGTAATCATTATTTACCGATTGAAAGTGGACGCTGGCTAAATGAACCAAGAGAAACAAGACTGTGTAAAAAATGTAATTTAAATGAAATAGGCGATGAATTCCATTACATATTAAACTGTACGTCAGTGATACACGAAAGAAATAAATGCTTATCGCAAAAACAATTACGGTTTAAAAATACAATTACATTCAGAGAAATAATAAATTCAGAAAAACAATCCTTTTTAAGAAAACTGTGTACATTTATTAGAAAAATTACTAAAACGTGCTCCCCGAATTAGTAAAGATCTATATCTATAATTGTACTATTTGTCTATCCTCATACTCACGCATGCTAAAATTTGTTTTTATTTGTCATCATTGTTTACATTTATATCTCTGTATACAACTGTAAAATTGTGAAGAGATTAATAAATTCAGTTCAGTTCAGGTAAAGCTAGTTCATAAATGATTGTAAATTCTACCTGTACCCCTTAGAGGGCCCCTTAATTGAGTGTGATAATTAGATGTTGGTTTAGTCCAGTAGACGTTCGGGGAACACACCACATGGGTTATGTTTTGACGCTTCGATAATTATTAGAACAATTCGCTTGCATTTAAAATTGTTCATAATTAAGGACATTTTGATAGCCAGAACAATCAATAAATGAATAAACAGTAACTAACTGCTTAACAATTTAACAGCCACCTGGCGTTTGGATAGTGTGAGATTACCCCCCCCCCCCCTTAATTTATTTCACAATAAGCTTTAAAAAATTTCGGCTAGCAAATTTTGAATGCTAACTAAAATAAAAACTAACTGCATGTACAGACCAATTTATGAATTCGATTGATGGGGAAATCATGAATTTGGGAATATCAGATTTCTAAATTTATTTCATATAATCTTGCTATCCAACGTTACGTTGCATTAATTTTTATGTTACTTTTTAAACAGATTAAGGGTTGTTGAGTTATAAATACGTCATGTACCAGTGAAGTTTAAAATAAAATTTTATTTTCAGAAAAAGTTCCGAATATTCGACTATCGTTCGAATAATGCAATCGAATAATCGACTAAGAAAAATAAATATTTTGACATCCCTAGAAAAAACACAAGTTTTACCAAATTTATAGAGTTATCTCTCTTTGTTTTGCCAAATAAGTAATGTTTTATGAAAATTCATATAAATATGAAAAATCATTCAAATATGTTAACTTTTGAAAATGACTTGGAGGTAGGCGGGAGAACAATACTATAGTTCGCAGTTCTTTGTCAGATTAGGAAATTTGACTCAGGTTGGCATATGATCCACGTATTACTAAAATCTGTCTATGAGAAAGCCAAGCAATACGACAAAATATGATAATTCTTATACTGATGTCATTTTAGCATCTAATGAACACGAACAGGGACACATTCCTTATATTAATTACTTGCGCAATCTGAAAACTGTATTAAATAAGACCAGAAAGATAGTAGAAAAGATAGAAAATCAACTACTTTTTATTATAAACAAATGATTACAATGATAAACAAATGTAACAGTAGCAACGAGACTAGAGACATATTTTGAACAATGTTATACGTGTGGACAATAATCATATTGTGTTAAAAATCACACTTCTAGTATCAGAGGAAACAACAGATATAGACCTAGAAGTACGTCCATTGTTTCTGTCATCGTTACCAATAATCTGCTGAAAATTTCTCCATGCATTGACAAACATACCAACAAGGGCGAACCGAAACCCTTCACTCATCGTGCAGTACAGCACAAAATGTATAGGGTAGGAAACTTGGACTAGCAAATTCAGAATGATCTCAATCGTATGAGAGTTCTCCGAGATAGGGTTTTCGCCCCTGGTCAGGTTTGTAGCCACCATCACGTAAAAAGCTGCGATAGGCATCTCGACAATGCATACGCTGTTAACGATCAAAATAACCAACCACGTGGTGATACGACTGTCACGTGGTTCGTTTTCCCCGGAACCAAAAGTGCTCCTACGTCGGATTGTACGCCTGCGTTTCTCTGCCACGCGAATTCTCACTAACATAATGGTACTAAAGACAATCATCGCCAAACACGGAACAATGTTCACAGCAACAGCTCTAACCCAGGAATACGCAACCACATAAACACCGTGGACAAAGTCCGAGGGTGTCCGAAAACATGTGGTTACGTCTTTACTTGGATCCAGAAGCGACGGAACCTTTGTTTTGATAAATTTGTATTCAAAAAATCTGCTCAAGTGACAGCCAGTGGCCAATATGAAAATGAAGATAACAAAGAAATAAGTCCGCTTGATGCCGCACCACAATCTGACATTGAGAGGATAAGACACACAGATGTATCTTTGTACCGCCAGAAGTGTTGTCAACCAGATCGAGGCTGTATGTGTGATAGTCGGAAGATAAATGGTCATATACTCCCAAACATAGCAAACTTCAAAGGGAATGAATTCTTGATAGTTCCTCATGGTGTATACATAGATATATGTTGGAGTAGGCAGAACAATTGTCAAAGTGTCAACGATAGCCATACAGCGAAGCACGAAGTGAGTTGGAGAGTTCATTTTCAGTTTGGCAAAGACGGTCACAAAAAGAACATTAGTAATTAACACAATCACACATAGTGCGGGTGTTACATACCCATAGATCGGTAGAGATATGTCGGTGTTGTGAAATTCCTGAAAATTAAGTCCAAACGGAATTGCTAGATTCTTTTCTTTGTCTTTGGTAGACAAACTGTCATTTTCTTGTGACTTAATGTAATTCTGTAACCAGTCCAAATCACTATCAGACAAACCCTCCATCATTCTTGTGCTGCTTTGCTTGGTGGGTCCTTTTTATATGGCCGGCACAGTGAAGATGATACTCTGGACCCCTCAAGAGGGTCACAAATTACTACATGCTATCCCAACATGTGAAGTTTCCCACCCAGAAAATGCTTCAATGATCGTCATTGGAAACACAATGCTAGCTCTTAACTCTGTTTCATTTCAAGTATGATCTCTCAGTAAATTTGTACTGTCAAGACTCGAAGCTTCAAGAAGCATATTTGCTGCCAAAATTCGATTATGTCATGCTATTTTGATAGCAGTTAGTTGTCCATACAAACCGGGAAAGGTGTCATCCGATGACCCAATGTTTACAAGGATTTGTTTGCTGATGGTTTCCCATTGTGGGATAACAAATCTGTTTTTAATGTATCCCATTAACACAATATGTAAAACTGAAATCAATACGTCGATACATCGATTCTTTATCATGTTCAAAAATGAAATAAGTTCTTTTGTAGAATTTCAAAGCGCAATTGTTTTCCGCGAACTAAATTGTTGTACTATTTTTAATCTGACTGTAAGTCATGTCTTTGGTAATAAATACAAAAATTCGAGATTTAACTTGCAAGTTTAGTTAAGTGTCTGGCATCTCGTTATAATAAGCAAACTCAGATTTTGTTTCATCTTGATTAATTGTTGATGTTTATTTTTAAAGGAATCGTCAAAAATGCATGTGCACATGAAAGATGTTAACAAATAATTTCAGTTTTTTACTGTAAAAAATTATGGTACAAATGAATACCTTTAAAAACAAGTGTTATAGAAACATGTAAGGGTTCTTTTAACATCTAAATATACATGTCTAACTAATGTACAAGTGCTGCTGGGGATATCCAAACTATAAAAGTAAACATAAAAAACCAGTGAAAACATGTTTAATTTTTAAAATAATTATCTACATTATATATACAACAATTTGAACAATCATTATAGAGCTTTAGACCCATTCTTCTGACTCTGTGCAACATCAACATTGCAACACTTCGACATTAACATGAATAAGACATACACCAAAATGCCTTGTTTGACTAGTCTTTGACTTTAAAGAATGTTAAAATGTTTCAATGGTTTCCTTTTAAAGATTTCGCAGATTTGTGAAGATTCTTGATAAGAAACCAAAAACAAAGATACAAAACAAAACAAAATAACAACAAATGAAAATAACAACGACAATAATAAATAACAACAAAAACATCAGGTCATTTCCCTACACCTTTCAAATCATCTTTCTGTCGTGTTTATCATATAATAATACAAAAACAATCGAAAGTGAAAATAGTTATTTTCCTCGAACATAACAATTATTATATAAATAAACTAGAAGATGCAAACCCCTATTCGACTTTATATATACGTGTATAAAGTACAATTGGGACAAAAATATTCTATTCACATCCATATAGAAATTGTAAATACAGTATTTCTTTGCTCACGTGCATATTGTTAGTGACACCCACGTGCACCGATAACTCTTAAATTGAACTGGCCATTTAAATCTACTTTTATAAGTAATCGAACTGGCCATTTAAACTGGGGCGAAAAAGTGAAAAAGGTTTGTAATACACCTACATACAGATCTTCATCCGATTTATCTTATTAAAAGACCATTCGTTTCAGGCATTGGATAATCTTTTACGGCATCGTTTAACCTTTCTCTGTAATTTGTTTATTAATACACTTAAGCTTATCCATCTTCAAGTCGAAATATGCGTATCCATCTTTAAGTCGAAATATAACATTACGGTAGATAATTTACGACAATAGTGTCGTAAATGTTTAATTAATTTTTAATCTGTAATTGAAAATGCTTACGTGTCATGTAATTATTTTCAACTTTCAGATTGAAAATTGATAAACAACAATACTTATACATACATGCTTATCCTATCTGCCTAAAAATTAGCAAAGGAATAGACTCGAATTATCTACCGAAATAAATCATACCTCAGGCCCTTACAATCTTGATTTCAAACTTTGCTGCTAGATAATTCTTATGAGCGGATGAATTGGCACTCTATAATGCTCTGAAACATGATGCTAATGACATTGTGGTTTGGAACCATTTACCCTCGATTTTAAATTCAAATACAATGTTTATTTCCGATCGATGGTTCGTTTTCCTCAGAGGAGCTGAAACACTGTATTAGTTTAATAACGGTGACTGCAAGTGTGGCCTACACGTGACTGTTATATCCGGTAAGTGAGCCGGTAATGTCGATCCCGATGATTTTTCCTCACAATCAGCTAACCACTTGAAAATCCTTTGGGTGCTGCTCATTTTCTTATGAAAATAATGATGTAGCACTTTTTGAGTTAGATTGACCACCTCCGGTGTTTTTGGCGGGAAAGTATTGTCCATCTCCAAGTCAGATAGTGTGATGTCATTCAAATCTCGCCTTTTCCTGCTCGGAGTTGACCGTCTGGGTGTGTCGGTTTGTCGAACTGGTGGTGCGTCGTCCATATCGCTGAGATCACTAAATTCGTCTTCTACAAGACATATAATACCATATTTCAATTGTTAGACCTATAGCGCTTGGATTAACAGAATCATATGTTCATGACGTTACATGAACTCAAAAAAAATCATTTAAAATAAAACCAAAATTTCAAGACTTTATTAAATCTACATGTGTATAGTATCATTCTTGCTGGTTTTTTTTTTTTTTTTTTTTTTTTTTTTTTTTTTTTTTTTCTTGGTAATCAAGAAAAACGATATCAGAGTGTGGTTTACCTTTCATGACTGTCGGATGAAAAGTATTTGTGGATATGTCCAACAAATATTAAGAAAAAAATAAAAAAGGTTAAATACAACATATAAAAAGTAATCTCTTTATCTTCACAGTAAAGTTCAACCTTTGAGTTGCCACGGTCATGTTGCCAAAATCATTAATGATAAGTAATAATAAAATATGTATTGCATGAAATAGGTAACGATAAGGAACAATGATTAATCTAATAAAAAATCCCAAAACAATACAAATCTGAACAAGGCATAAAACACGGATCCCTGGAAATTCAAGAGGTGGGATCAGGTGGCTAGGAGGAGTAAGCATCCTCATTCGACCGGTTACACCTTCCATGAGCCCAATGTATTTATCAGATAGACAGATTAATAGTATAATATCGATAGTATAACAACAAGGGCCTAACAATTGGTATGATATATGTCAGTCTAATTAGTATCTCTTACCTAATGCATTGTTCCAGCACAGCTTAGTTAATGGTTGACCAAATGGAACAGGGGTACCGCATCTGTTCTTTCCGCGGCTGCTTGTTCGTCCTGAGGACCTCAGTATCAGAGTGGGGGACTCTAACCCAATCTGTCTCCTGTACATGCCGTTAGACCCAAACAGGTCCGCCGTCTCACTGGGGACATTGCTCCGGCTGCCACCGCTACCAAGCAATTGTCTCTGAAGCCTCGTTTTCACAAATGGGGTTTCCGGTCGATTTTCCTCCTCCTCTGGCCACGGATTAAATGCTTCACTCGTGAAAGGGGTTCGAACCGCTTTTAAAGGCTCTCGTTTCCGAAGGATAGGAATTCCGTCATGTCTCTGAGACTGCTGGGTCCGGGGCCGGAGTTTGTTTTGTTTCGCTAGCACCTCTAGCGAGGTATGGAGCATGTTGAGTTTCCCTGGTTTTAACATTTGTGGTACAGATGCTTTCCTTGTACAAATCCAATTATGTTCTTGTGCAGTCGCTTGCTTGTTTCACAATGACGCATGTTTTATAGTTCTGTTCCAAATTTTTGTTTACCAAGTTCATATATTTTGACTGCATGTAACGAAGTCTTCAATATACAAGATTAAAATCTTTTAAAATGTTTCTGTTTAATTCATTAATCCCAAAGGGGCCCATTAAGGAAGTACAAATATAAGCAACACGTTGAGGAATGTTTATCAACTTCAAAATTTAATACATATTTCAATTTTATATTTTTTCTCAAAATTGCCATTCATTTTTTCATGTTTTGTTGATTTAACTCTGCGAAAAGAAAATGTTTAATATTTCTGAAACTTTATTTCCACCCGACTTTAGAGATCTTTAACGTAGAAAGTTTAAAAAGATTAATAAAATCGCACATGCCAATAGATTAAAACTTAGACTACTTGGACACAAAACAACCATCGGATTACTGTATTACGCTATTCAGTAAAACGCACTGGCGAACGTGTCGTCTACCCCATGGCTTTAAACCAATTTGTATCGAAAGGCAAAGGGCGTGATTGTGACGGTACATAATGTCGTTTTGTACATACTGTCGTCGGCGACAATATGTACCCACCCTCACTGTACATATTGTCGTCCATCGGTACATATTGTCGCCGGCTGAAAAGTTACACATGTACATATTGTCGCTGGCGACATTATGTACCTCACCCTCACTGTACATATTGTCGCCCCACAGATATTGTTGCTTAAAGATTTCTTTTGTTGTTTTTTGGTAGTTTTGTGAATGTAATTGATGTGTGAATTGCACTGACGTATTTCATGCTATTTCAGGCAGCGTGATTGTGATGGTACATTTTGTCGTCCTGTTCATATTGTCGCCGGTGACAATATGTACCTACCCTAACTGCGCATATTGTCGTCCATCAGAACATGTCGCTTGACAATGCACGGCACTGCTCCATATACTTGTAAATATAGCCAGAGAAACCAAAAACTTCAAAAATGGTCGTCGAAATATGGATGAAATATTGCCGACGTAGCTTTAAACAATAATAATCAATCAATCCATATAAATATGATAATCATTGCTTTTCTGTTTTTGAGAAGACATTTTTTAAAGAAATTTCCCATTTATTCCTAAGTAAAACTTTGATCGCCCATGGTGGCCCCAAATTAGGCCCGGTTTGTCTTGAATTTGCGCTACCTGAGGATGCTTCCATATAAACATCACTTATCATATCATGGGTTTTTAGTTGTTCTCAGTGGTGAATCCACAATTTTCAGAACGGAGGGGGGAGGGGTGCGGGCGATTCAGAATTTTTTTTTTTTTGACAAGCAAAAAAATTTGACAAGTCATTTGTATGTTAATGTTTGTACTGTATATGTTGAGTAAATTAATTCTTTGATTATGAAATTTTACCTGTGTACTAAATTGAGAGTATATACAACTTAAACAATCATAATTTGCTAAAGCAGAAAAAATCAAACCACCGGGCGGGGGAGGGGGTGCGCCGGTGCTATATCTGTCTGGTTTTTGAGAAGATTTTTAGAGATTTTCTGTATATTTTTCTATGTAAAACTTTGATCACCCATAGTGGCCCCACCCTACTCCTGGGGTCATGATTTGAACAAAATTGATTTTGTTTTTGTTTGTTTATTTATTGTTATAATGTCCATCTCGAGAATTTTTTCACTCGTATGTAGACATCACCACTTGCCAGTGAAGGGCTGCAAATTTAGACCTATACTTGGCACTCGGGGTCATTGAGCAGTGAGGGCACTTCAAAATTGAACTAAAGCTATGTAACGAATTTTTTTAAGCTTTCACATAAGTATCATCTCTTCTGACTCAGTACTTCTTGAAAAAAAAATTAATGATTTTTTTCTCTCTAAATATTCTATGAAAAACTTTGATCACCTATTTTAGCCACTCCATTCCCCCGAGGGACATGGTCTGAATTTAACTGAATCTACACTTCATGATGAAGCTTTCACAGTTTCAACTTTTCTGACACAGTGGTTCTTGAGAAGATTTTTAAAGAACTCACTAAATTTTCACTAATTCTTAACTACTCTTCTTGAAAGAGGACATGGCCCTTCATTTGAACAAACTTGAATTCCCTTTATCCATGGATGCTTTGTGACAAGTATGCTTGAAATTGACCCAGTAGTTCTTGAGAAGAACCTAAAATTGTGAAAAGTTTACAGACAGAGGAACGATCAGACAAAATGTGATCAGAAAAGCTCACTTGAACTTCCAGTTCAGGTGATCTAAATATGTCAACCCCTACACCAATTATATCGGCACATGATTGTATGTAAGAAAAACGCAAAAATAAGTTCAAATAATCATTACTACTGAACAAAAAAAAAATAAGACATGTATTCAATCTTCAAGTATATATTACAAGAAAAAAGAAAACTTAAGGCCGATTTATCAGATATCTTAAGAATCACAGTATCTTGACATATCATAGTGATTTACATCAATCCTGGACAATTTTCTGACCAAAATGTTTTCTCCCTACAGTATTGCGAGGAATGCTGTATGTCTCCCTTTGTGCTTGTGTGTGTGTGTGTGTGTGTGTGTGTTTGTCAATCTCTCTTTCCTTTCTGAAGTAAATTTTCCTCAAAACAATATATCGACGACAATATATGCCGACCTTGACTGCACATATTGTCGCCGACGACAATATGTGCTGATGCTTGACTGTACATTTTGTCGTCCATTATGCAGGAGAAAAATAAGGCTCCTCTCGGTACATATTGTCGCCAGCGACAATATGTACCAATGGAAGACAATATGTGCAGTGAGGGTAGGTACATATTGTCGCCGACGACAATATGTACACAACGACAACATGTGCCGTCACACGTGATTCTTACTGCATTATTAGTTCATTCTCTCTATCAGTAGCTTAGTTTTTTAATCACGTATATGTCATTAAATCAAGTTTATTCAGTTTTCTGCACGTTTGTTTTTTTTTTTAAAGTTTAAAATTTTCTAATATTTTGCCCAATGTATCTACCAAAACAGGATTTGAGCTGGGATTTATTGAAGTTATCGAACTTAGCCCAGCTGTAGATCATCTCTTCTTGAGCTCCGTAGTCATAGCGATTTTTAAACTATTTGAACCTCCTGAAAAAGATAACTGTGTAAAAATATAGAAAAGTGCATGATCTGGTTTATTTTTTACTATAAATAGTTTATGGCTTGAAAAATAAATGTCATATTTTTAGGTGGATCTGTTGGGTAATTTACTGACCCTAGCCTCCATAGACGAGTACGTTGTTATGCATTCACAAGATAAATAATATAAATAATAAATGGTAAATATAATGTGATAAATGAAATATCTTTATATATCTAAATATAGTGATATCTTTATTTTATTTTATTAAATATACTTCACAATTACCCCCTCGGTACAGTAGACTATTTATCGAATAAAATCCAAGATATGGCCATTTTAGTGTCGTACTTCACAAATATTGCGGTCTTGTTGTTCCTAAGGCAGGTTTGTCTACAGGAAACTATTCCATGTTGGGGAATAGAGCCTATTTTTACTGAAAGGGACATTTGAGTATTAAATCAACAAAAAACACAGTAGACCAATAATGACTAAGAATACTTGCTATGGACTATCACATGCATAAGTGTGAATTACGGCATATTAGTTCAGGGTCTTTATTATTTATTTATTTACCGAATTATTATTATTTTTGATTCTTGGCATTTACAGACACGGGGGGCAGGAGGGGGGCTCCCCCTACTTTTTTCAAAACACACCCCTTTACTATTGAAAATGTTCATTGAAAGGCTATAGTCCCCCCCCCCCCCAAAAAAAAATTGTATACTTTTTAAATCACGGTAATGTGGTAATGTATTAAGGTCAAGGTATTAAGGTTCCTTAATAATATATAATTTTTCCCTAAGAATATGTCATTAAAGTATTGCTACTATAACAAGTTTCCTCACAAAAAATTGAGGTACCTTACCAGGCATTTGTGCAAGATACCAGATGATGATGTCATCTTAATCATTATATTGGAAATCTCCTGAATTGTCAATATCACAATTTTTGGTGTATTTATTTTTAAGACTTTTTGAAAACAGTTTAAAAATCACAAGATAATGATAATTATGAATATTTTTCCGTATATTATGAAGAGATACAAAACAGGTATTTTAGGAACGTGTCCTCTGACCTTAATAAAGTTTTGTGAAAGGAATTTAGAGCCCCCCCCCCCCCCCCCAAACGAAATAGGATTTTCGAGTTTAGACAATTTTCCCTTTTTTCAAATTGTCAAAGTTTTTTCAGGTAAATAGTCAAATTTTTTCTGGTCCCCCCCCCCCTTCAAAAACGATACTACGTGCCTGATTAAATTATTTCGTCAATTACCACTCATTTGTTTTCACAATTTCCTTGTGGGAATTTGAAGTTTCATTTCAGACGTGGAATGATGCCTACAGAAATGAGAAATGTTCACATATATATAGATAACTTTAAAAATCTAATAAATGTACTCAGGGCAAAAGCACTAAGCCAAAACAAATAACATTCTAGTAGACAAGAGAAGTTCAAGTGAGGACGCAATTTTTTCCATGTTTCCCAGTGACATTAAAATATAAAACTGTTCTTGACAAGACAAATCGAGATTTGAGAATTACATGCAGCTTGTTGAATAAATCCTGTAAATTATACATTTCCGAATTAGCTTGTATAAATCCCGTTAATTGTACATTTCAGAATTAGCTTGCTGAATATCCCGCAAATTGTTCTGGTTTATTTCAGAATTAATTTACGGGTTGAATAAATCCTGTAAATTGAGGATTTAGATTGTTGAATAAACCCTCTTAGATATTGGAGCGAATGGGTACGTTTCTTGCCGTACATGTAGATGAAAAAGTATGCGTCGGTTAAGTGTCCATCCATCTAGGTGTTTAGCTGTCTGTTTGTCTGTCTATTCTTTAAGTGCTCGCTCTCCTCTCTATTGA